GGCGCAGCCCCCGAACGGGAGCTGCGGTGCACGTCTATGGCGGTGTGCATTCCGCTGAGATCTCCACCCTAGCGATGTTCAGCCACATGTTTAATTTTATGCGCTTGGTCACTTCCATGGCCGGTGAAAGGCCTGCTGGCCGGTAAGCGTGGAGCCCAAGCTGCAGGCGAGGAGGGAGAGCGGTGGGTACGCTCTGTGCGGAGGCCTGAGCGTCACCTGCAGGGTGGAGGCCTGGCTGCCGGCCGAACAGCGCAGGTTGGTTTTCTGTACAAAACCCTCAAATAAACTGTTTAAAAAACATAGTTTATAGGGTGAATGGTTTTTTTTTCCCCTGAAAATTCCACTTAGGACCCGACACTCGGGTGCGAGTTTCCCCCTCTGGGTGCCAGCCCACTGCAGAGCCCGGCGCAGGCTGACGGTGGCCGGTGGCCGGTGGCCCGGGGCAGGGCAGCTCGTGTCCCACGGCTGGGCTCCCGGGGGTGGGCAGGCGTCGGGTAAGGAAGGCGAAGAGGCAGCTCAGCCCGGACAGACGGTGCCTCGTGTCACGGGGGTCAGGGTCTCACAGGGAGGTTTTAACCCCGTTCTCACGATAACCCATAAGCAGGAGGTCTGCTGATGCAGAGACGTGCAGGAAGGCAGGTGAGTTGGACAATCGCCTTCTCGCCCTCTGTTACACGGTCTCGTTTCTGTTTCTGCTCCGAAGGAAGGCCTTGATCCAGAAAACTGGATGTATTCCCACTGAGGACCACGGAGCTGATCGCAGGCTTCAAGACTCCCTTGCCTTAAGCTGCTACTTTGCGGCTTTCCAAGAGCAGGAAAACAGGCTCTCCGGCAGTTATTTCACTATCAGCGTGAATGTGTCGGACCTATTTTCTCTGGGAAGGTGTTCGCTGGCTGCACAGGGCCAGTACAAAAGCCTTTGTGGAGGTAAAACTGCAGCAGCCCACGAGGCTTCTGCTTTATTACCGACACTTTCAATTGCAAATGAGAGCGTAGGCATTTTATAGTGCCTTTCACTGCGAAGATATCCCAGTAGTGGTTCATAAACAAGGAGTTAAGCAGCAAAGTACCACTAATGATGAGGGGTTAAGAGATATTTACTGGTGGTCTGGCTGGAAATTGCATTCACATTCGGCTTCCTCTCCTCCCGCTCCCTCCTAGCCCAGCTGGGGGATTTTCTGTTTCCTATCCACAGGGAGGAACCCTGTACCTGGACAGAATGGGATGGTTGAGGTGAAAACACCCCATGTGGGGGTGCTTGCAGGATTTGACCCTAAATATTTAGGACACCTTACAACAAGGTGCAAATTTTTCACGTTGGAACAATTCAGCAGGTTCTGTGGTGAACTGGCCACGTCGGCATGTTTAAACCACGGGATGTGCTTGTCTGTAAAAAATAGTTAATCTTAACTAACACTCACTCAGGGAGGTGTATGGACTGGGTAGCACGGGATGCCCGTGCGTGTGAGCGCGATATTCCCTTTGGCTTTAACGTGTTGCATACAGCCTTACATAAATTGTCCTGAGTGTAAATTAATAATTGCAGTTAATTACCACACATTTTCATAACCACCAAAATTCATTCACCTGTACTGTGTGGCTGAAAAACTGAAACAAGGAAAGAGGCAATTTTGGGTCTGATTTGGATGGCGGGATTAGCTGTGCAGGAGCAGCCTGCGACTGGCCTTTACGTCCCTGTGACCGGCCTTTACGTCCCCGTGCCTTCCCAGGGTGATGCTCTGGGAGCTGCCGGAGGACGGTCCCGCGGGCGCGGGTGTGCTTGTGTGGGCATGCAGGAGGTACGGCAGAGGGGAAGCCGACGGTGGTAAACAGTTTCCCAGGCAGCAAACCAAATTCTTGGGGCAAGTTGAGTGACAGGATCCAAGAAGAAGAGTTGAAGTTGAGGTACGTGCTCATAACATCCTGTTCAAACAATCGCCAGGAAACCGGGCGGCCGCCGCTGCTGGGACGCTGCTGGGGCTGCAGCGGCCGTGCGGTGCCGGGAGCCCTCGCAGGGCACCCGCGGCTCTGCGGTGGCAGGCAGGCTGGGCTCCGCCAGCGCTCATTTTTGGAAAGGATTGACTCCAATAAAAGCGAGGGTTGCAGGCTGAGGGTCTGGATGGTCTGGATTCGTTGCAGGGGTGGCAGGCAGAGGGTGGCCCTGGGCAGAGCCCCCCGGGGCTGCCCCTGGGCCTGGGTGCCCTGGCAGCCATCAGCCCCGATGGGTGCCTCTGCCAGGCCATTCTCATGCAGAGCCTGTCGCTGATCGGCTCATCAGAGCCCACGACTAGCAGCAGGTCGGAGTTAGTTACAGGTATGCACGCTTGTTCACCACAAATACACAAATCTCAGGCATTGGAACAGGCTGCCCAGGGCAGTGGTTGAGTCCCCACCCCTGGAGGTATTTAAAAGACCGGTGGACGTGGTGCTCGAGGACATGGTTTAGTGGTGGCCTTGGGTGATAGGTTAACGGTTGGACTCGATGAGATGATCTTAAGGGTTAACGATTCTGTGATTCTGTGATTCTATGAAATACACAAATAGAGTAAAAGCAGCAGCAAAAAGCAAAGGGACACACACACACAGAGGGAAACGGTATAAAAAATGCTGCGCTCCCGAGTGAGCCAGAGGATCAGCGTGCCCTGCTTCAGAAGTATTTTTCAGCTTCATTTCACCTGTCAAACTTGAAAAGCTTCCTCAGCACTCGGAGAGAGTTACCTGGGGAAGGCTCCGCATTAGATATTCCCAAGGGATCAGATGCCGGGGTGTCACCGTCCTGTTCTCTCATGCCACCTTCTATCCAAAGCTCTCAAAGCACTCCACAGTCACTCCCGGGTCAGCCGTGGAGCACCTCCCTGAAGCGGGGGTGTATTACCTGCGCTTGCTGGCCTGAGAAGGGCCTGGAAAAGCTAAGAGAGTGTGAATGAGTGAAACCCAGACGCCGTTCACCCTGGCTGGTGCTGAGCCCCCCGCTTTCTGTGTGTTCTGCCCGTCTGCAGCGTCTGCCTCGGGCTGGGTGGGCTCGGGAGAGCGTCTCCCTGCGCGGGCTGAGGGATGCTGCATCTCCTCCCGGCTTGCTGGCGTGACGGAGATTGCCCAGCTGAAACTGGGGGGTAGCTCTGTTCCCGGGGGAGACTGATACAAATGAGACAAGGATTTGGGGTTC